CGATTCTGGTAGAAAAGCGTTCATGCTATATCCGCATGGATCAAATAACTCTTCATGGATGAGCGTTCCATTTGGAACAATATGGTCTATGCCAGCACGCTGAAAAAAACGAATCAATCTTGAGGCTGCCGTTCTATTCACAAGTACTACGTTTATAGTTCGATGTCGATGATGAAAGAGCCCCGGTTATGTTCGCACTAACCGGAGAAATCAACACAGCCTTTTAACCCACTGGCAGCCGTGTGGGCCACATATAGCCCACACTTCTTTTAAGAAATCGACCTTGTTCGGAAACGCTCTTCTTAACGTGATTTTGCCCACCCTGCACCCATTGAACATTGCTGATATGATTTTGTTCCATTCGGTCGACGGACTACTTGAACTCAGCCCTTTAAACCGCCTCTGCGCTCTCTCGCGGGTCCCTCTCCTCTCCAAGGCTTAGTCCTAGGGCATTCACCCGTTCTCTAATCGTCTGTGCTCTAGCCATCGCGGCAGGACCATTGAGGAAAAATCAAGTAGTCCGTAAACCGTTCCATTCATTTCGCCTGTGCTCACGACGCAATCAACACATCAGAGGTGAGGCGACTGCGCTCGCTACGCGCCAGTCTCACGATGGATGTAAAAGCCAAAACGAGCGCATTTCTGCGTTGAAGACAGTAGCGTCGATATCAGCGATGTCTGCTATGGAAAGTAAAAAAGCTCTGATCAACGCAACAGCGCCATTCAAAAAAGCGGTGGAGAAAAAAGGGTCATTTTGTGTTAGGAGTGCATTCGTGAAATTAGATTTTATTCACAGAATGCGCCCTTAGCACAAACAGTCTTGGTAGCAAGGAAACCAGCTGTCTTAGCACTGGGAGTTTGCGTGCGTGCGTGCAAACGGTTTGCAAGAAGTGACGAGGAAATACAAACTGGCACCCCATCCCCCACAGAGGTAACGTGCGAGCATAGCGTGAGGCGTTGCTATTTCCTGCCTCCTCCGCCTCTTTGCTGTGTGACTCGTTTTTCTTGGGTTGGTTTTTGTACGTTCCCGCTTGTAAACGTATACGTCGAGGAACCGGCCGAAATGACTGGACTAACTCATCGACCGTATGGAGGCGTTCCGTTGTTATCGATTGCCTACACAGCTCCCACTTTCACCGACAACCAATCTATCCCACTCCTTTCTCCTTGTTCCTTGGTCATAAACGAATCTCGTAGCATAATATTCCACGAACTTTCTTCTATCTGTTCGTGTGCACAAAAGCTAAGTATGAACTGATAGCGTTTTAGATCACCTTCCCATTTTTACCAATAATCAACACCCATGAAGAAAGTTTACCTCTGTACAATCCTTTCCGTTTCGCAAGCGACTCCTTGTGTAAGATTTGGTAGAACGTCTCTCATCAAGGATCCGTCATGAGTATTTCCAGTGTTCCGCAATTCATTCTCCCATCCTCCTTTCTCCTTCCCCACTCCCCGGCCTGAATATTTTATAAAAGTTTCAAAGACGTTCTCTTAGAGAAGGACAAGGGCTGAAATTAATCTACTTTCGCGGGCCATACAAAGAATTATTGTAATTTAGTGCATGTAAATGTTCCAGGTGCTCGATAACTTCTCAAATGAACACGTGGATTATGGCACTGTGGGTAAAAAAATGGCAGTTTCAGCGAAGCTTTTAGACAAACAACGTATTCAAAGAGAATTGGAAGACGAGTGCACTTGGTAATCTGCATTTCCAGTGCACTGAATCTGAAAGCACTCGTACCGCAGTTTTGTTATCGGTGAGGGACATAGGAATGCTGTAGAGCATACAACGATCTGCTGGAGAGGCTAACCATACAATATGCATGTCCATCTGAAAATTGGACAATAAAATTTTGATGGCAAGCCTTCCTTCTGGGAAACAGTGAACGATAGGTGAGAAAATGTGTGGTACGATATCTTATTAATCCTTCTTTGATCAACAAAAATCATTGATAAGCACGCTGATAAATCTAGACTGCGAAATCTGCCTTCTGAAGGTTGAAACTGAGGGGGGCGGGGGGCGGGGTGGGGGGGGGGGCGCGACAATTGGAACGTGACATGGACAGAAAGTTGTCGAGAATAATCAACCGTCAGCGTCGATACACAGATGTTCTATCGGTTGTAGCCTTCAGGTCGATGCGAAGTTCTGCGGTGGTAGTAGTACACCGACAGCCACGCCTAAGTTCAAAGAAGAAATACTTTTCATGAAATTCAATCAAATAAATTATTATTAAAGCATACAGTTCCCACGAGAAGACGGTTTCGCGGGAAAAACGCCAATAATGAAGTTGTAGATGAAAACCAGATGATTAATGTATGAAAAACTGAAAAAAAAAACGTCGGGGAGGGTTTTAGACAGGTACTCTCCCTCTGCCGCTCAGCAATTGGATAAAGACGCACGTTGGACGAGTTGTCTGAACGTGCCCGCTGTGTAACGCCGCTCCATTTTTCAATCAATTTTCCCTGTGGTCCCAAAACGAGCACGATTGCCGACGCGTCCAATGACGGCCGGCAAGGGGGCGGGATTGGGGAAATCCCCAAGAACACCCATGTTTGAGGGACTTTCCACCCTGTTTTTGAGTTTCTGAGGTAAGTTCGTTTATTATTTCCACTGCATATGTTCTTCACTAGGGCTCGTGTATCCCTCAGTAGTAGTGGCATTGAAATTTTCGGACCCTCCCTGAACTGTTGCTTTAAAGACTGTGTATGTTTAATTTCGGTGACTATGATCCAATCCTATATGTGACCACCCAAGACAAAATACGCTTCTTTACGTCCTTAATCTGTACTAGAGACTTTCTCGATTGACAGTCATGCTCGTAAAGCTTTAAACGTCCCACCAAATAAGATAACAGCACAAAATCATTCGATACGCTGCAATCTGTGGTCAGCAATGCTTTTCAAATATTCGTGAGGACTGCACCTGATCAAAACCTGCATAATCTGCAGCCAGCTGATATATTGTGGTTAGGCTGCAAGCATAACGTGTACCTTCCAATGTTCAAAAATCAAACGACGTTCCGATACAAAAAGGCTGCTTTTCACTGAAAGAGAGTTAGAGGTTTTTGAGCGAATAAAACACTCTAGATGAGATCTGAACTATTCACCTGAGAACGTAGCTGTCAATGAATTCAGTGTGAGCTGAGTGAAGAACTTTGCACTGGGCAATGTTAAGCATTGCGTCAAGCTCATACCTCGGTATGCGACGCAGAGAACCGCTTCTGCCGCTACTATTAGCAAACCACAATTCAAGCAATTTCTCCGCTCCTGCAAAAAGCTAGACTTGGAAACTGAGCACACAAAGTTCAGAATGAGTCTTGATCGGCCATAGCTTGAGCCTGCAGTGTTTTAAACCCCATGAATCGTCCGAACTATTATCGTTAGACCAAATGCTTGTAGCCACGTACGATTCCAATATTACTCAACGTAAAATATCCAGATGTTGACGACGTTTCATCATCTCTTCCAAACAATGACATCCGGCAACTTACAATATCAACATTTCCTCTGGCATCAAATGGTGACAGCGGCACTTCGAAACTTGCAGCCATTAGTTCTTGAAAGACTTCCCAGACTGCATCTCAGTAAATTGATACGATCATGCCGAGTGGAACGCAATGATACCCAGAAAATTCCTCTTTCTCTCTATCATTGGCCTACTACTGTGAAAAAGGAAGCACAATCCTTCCCAAGGGCGCTCTCATAGTCGCTTATCGGATCGCAACGATCGAAACGATCCTTGGATGTGTCGGACGATCGAACATAGCCAATGCTGTGCGCCCGTTACGATCGGACGACCGACTATGGAAGCACCCTAACACGCAGCTGTCACGGAGCATGTTTAAAATGATGGCTAAGCTACAGTTATGGTTATCATAATAAACATTAGACACACTGACGTAGCTAGAAAGAACGCTTTAAATAAATGCTGATCAGAATACCTTCAAAGAAGTACTCCTCCACTGGGGTTTTCTCCTCTAGGTTGCTAGTTTGAATCACGCTGGACTCGACCTTCGATGACATCTGAATTTGAACATATTAAGCATACATTTGCCGCATGAAAGCGTTCCACACTCACGTTGTTCTACTTCACTGGTTCTCCTGGACGCTTTTTGCAAAGAAGCAGAAGTTAGTGGTAAAATCACTGTTGAGTGTTTGAAAGTTGCGAAAGATAACTTTCGGACCTGCTAAGGAGGACGACGGTAAAGCACGAGGATGAGGGTCTCAATGTCTGGACCCATACAATCCTGAAAATGCATATGATACTGACAGAAGATCTGGCAGTAATACTCAATTAATTGAAGGCACGGGTCGCTATTAGATCTTCGAGCAATTCTCCCACGAATGAGGTATAGGGTCCTCCAGCACAGAAGTCAACGAACATTTTACTCGTTCGATCATATGTGGTGATACCGTTACGTGCAGTGTGCACTCTCGCTGATTCTCTCTCCTCTCCGCGCTGCGTCTATCGACCTCACAAAAGGAGGTACTCAACCTCACTGTTTTTTCTATCTTAGAAGATTCCTGTTGCTGTTCTCCACTCGGTTCTCTTCAAACCACTTGCTTCATCATCAAACGGAATACACACTAATTCGATCGCGACCAGTGCCTTTAAATTCGTATTTTGAAAG